AAGTGGGTGGCCTACCTTTGCCCAGTTGGGCAGCTTTCCCAGAGGCCACAAGAGGTGCTTGCTTTGAAGGGGGTACCTTTTCCCACCAAATTCACCCCATGGTCCCAGGGGGTGCTGACACATGTTGACTTTCAGTTCAGTTGTGTGGACATTTCCACAATCCTACCATAAGCTCTTTATTCTCACCTCTGGAGCTCTGCAGCTGCCTCCCAGCTAGGCTTCCCCAGATCTCTGAAGCATCACCTCCTGCCCCTTTCCCTACAGCTGCACAAATCTGAATCTCTTTATCCATAAAGCCTTAATTCTTACAGTTCACTCTGCCTAGGACCACTAACTCTCCCTACTCAGCCTTTAGGCCTCAGCTGCACCATCGCACTCTCAGGGAGGCATTTCATTCCCCACCTTCTGCGTTACACATCTCTGTTAGAGCCCACATGGCAGTGGCTGCCCCTTCGTATCACTTGTTCAACCATCTGCCTTCCCCATTCTCCTCTAAGACCCACACAGAGAAAGACTGTCCCTGTTTTGTCACAGTTCATTCCAAGTACTTAACGCCTGCCTGACATGGCATGAAAACTCAATACATAATTTTTTTAATGAGTGTATTTTGGGAATGGATGAACTTCTTTCTGTATTCTCTATTGAGACAGAGTTATTCATTTGTCAGTTCAATAAGGGGTAAAGGGCAGAAAACTGTACTTGAACAAGAAGTAAAATAAAATTTAAGAAATGACCAAAAAAGAGAAAGAAAAAATATATTGATTGCCTGTAATGTGCCAGTCACAGAAGAAACAAATATGAATAAGACTCTGTCCTTACTTCTACCAGTTTTTGAATGAAGGTGGCTACCACCCACCCAGAGGCACTCAGAAATGTGTTCTTGTTGTTGCCACAATAACTGGGGGCACTACTGACATGTTGTGGGAAGATCCCAAGGTCACTAAACATTTTCCAAGCAGGGCTTCCTCCCTGAGCTTACAGTTGAACAGAGAAAAGTGGACTGAAAGGGCAGTGCCCTGTTGGAGCAGTACCCAGCCCCAGGACGCATCAGCATTGCACCTTGGGCTCAGGGTGGGAGGGTCTTTTTCCAGTGTGTTTCATCCCCACTAAGGAGCTTTTAATGTAAATGAAATAATAAAACTAGAAGTTAAAGTAACAAAATATAAATAGCTTATGATGAAAATTACTATCCTCATTTTTATGACAAATATTCCAAAAAGGTTAGTGAAAATAATGGAAATGACACTTCAGTTCTTTCTCAAAGGACTTACCTCTTTGTTGAAGTAATAAAAAAAACAATTATAGAAGGATTGTTGCATTTCTTTCCCAATTTGCCTTTTGGGGAGGAAATCTCAAGAGGGAAGAATGTTTCCCCACAAAACTCATGTGAGAGGAACAGCAGAGTGTAGTGTTTAACTAGACCAGAGTTCCTCAATTTCTGCACTATTAACATTTAAGGAAGAATAATTCTTTGTCTTGGGGACTGTCGTGAGCATCGTAAGATGTTGAAGAGGGTCCCTGGCCTCTACCCACCAGATGCCAGTAACATCCCCAAGACAATCTCTACTAAAAATATTGGACAATCAAAATATTTCCAGACATTGCCAAATGTCCCTGGGGTAGAGGTAGGGAGTACAAAACTGCTCCAATTGAGAGCTCTGTGTCAAATATTCATGGTCTATCAGGATTTAGCCACACTGGTGTCACAGGTACAAAGTACAGTTTAAGAATATCCACAGGCCTCAGGTGGACTCTGTGTTTCTGATGGACAGAGGGGACCTCTGGAAGCTGCTCTATTACCAACAGGCAATCTCTTCTCAGAGACAGGTTGGCATTTGTGCTGTGTTCTTGCTGATTGCTCAAAGGAGAACCTACAGGAGGGGCCTCAGGGATGATGAGACAATTTCTCTTTTGCATCTCTAGCAGAACTCCCAGGAGTGTGAGTAACGCTGTCACCTGAAGCAACTCTGTAAGCCTCCAGAGACAGCTTCAGGAAGTTACAGTGAATTGCAGGGAACTCTGATGCTGGAGAGAAAACAAAATGCTCTTCTTAAATTAGAAAAAAAAAAAAAGAAAGAGAAAACACAAGACAATTTTGAAACTAGCTTGATTTAACATCTTTTCAAAGGAAACTACATGAGTTTCAAGGGTGTCTGAGATCTGGTATGTCCCACTTGGCCAGTCAGTTTTAAGAATGATGCCTCACTTGGGTCACCCTTTTCTCCACTGTTACACATTCAGGTTCCCTTGTGACCCAGTCAGTCTCCTGTGTGGGGGACTTTGCACTTCCTTCCCTCAAAAATCCTACTTGCCCTAGCCTCAGCTTCAGATTTCTCCGTAGGAGAGGAAAGCTGCTGGGATAAGAAGAAGCATCAGTGTTCATAGAGGTGGAAACAAGATAGCTTTTCCTGACTTTGCATGCAGCTTTGAGCATACACTATGAAGAGTCCCCAGGAAAGGTTGGCTGTGGTGGGGAAAATCAAGCTCCAGAAGCTTTGGAGGGATGTGAACAAGAGTTGCAATACTACTCTCCAGACAAGTCACCACCAACTTTAATACCCAACACACAGAAAGGGATAGGAAAGTAGATGTTGATAATTAGTCACATTTTTAAAAGACCACACAGTTTACTTGTACTGTTTTATCTGACTACAAAAAAATAAAGAGAAATAATTCCTGATTTCATTGGTGGTAGTAGTTTTTCTTTGGGTGCTTATGCTTTGCCACCACTGCAGTAAACACTTTATACATAATATTTTATTTAATTTTCCCCAACATCCTCTGTGATTAATTGTGATATCAAATCCATTTTATAGATGAGGACATTGAGGCTTTGTGGGTTTAAAAAGCTTATGCAAGATCCCACAGGTCTTACAGGAATTTAAGTCAGTTGTGTCCATCTTAGGACACTTACCTCCTAAATACCATGCCCTACAGCAGTGATTCTCAAACTCTAGCATAAGTGGAATCACACAGGCTGCATGATAATCAAGATCCCTGACCTCATGCCCTATAGCAGCCTGGGAACTTGCCTCTCTAACCAGTTCCCAGGTGATATTGCTGGTTGAAGAATCATCCTTTGAGAACCCCTATTACACAACATGCTATTTTCTAGAAAATAGTGTAAGCATTGACTTTGGAGACCTTGAATGAAGATGACTAACATTGGAATTGACCACTGACATTAGACCTATGTGTGGACAGATAACAGCCCTGGTGTTTCCAGAGCAACCCTTCTGACAGAAAGGATGATGTCATCAGACAGGGGCAACTGCCCTGTTGTAGGTTTTATCCTGGTATTCCCTTGGCTGCGAAATATTTTTGAGAAGACAGTCACACTGCATCATTTAAAAAAAGAAATGTACTACCACATTCACTGGTACAAATTGGCCACTTTTGAAGTTCAGGAGTTTTCCATCAGAATTACAACATTTCTTTTTCAAATTGCCCTTAGTTTATTTTCTTTTCATTCAGTAAAACCTAGTATATTCTGATTCTGTATAAACACTGTGACCATTATCTTGGAGAATATCTTTAGAATGCTAATACTAATGAGCATGTAGAGCAGATTCACTGTGAAAAAGAAGATTCACAGATATTGGATCAGTCTTATGTCCTATTAACAAATTCAACAAAAACTCTCAGGCAACTTTATTGATAATACAAAGAAATAAACAATAGTAAAAGAAGAAATCTCATTTAAAAGTTTCTTGATTGTGGTTGCTTTGAAAACAACAGGCAGTTCGAGGGCAGATTTTTGTGTTCTTTTGACTGATTGAGTTTCACCTGAATTAAGATTCCAACGGTATATTTGAAACCTGAAATAAAGCTGATTAACTTGTCGATAATCTGTTCTGAGGCCTTCTGAGCTAGTTCAGGAGAAAGGCTTTGGCTCCTTACCCTTCTGCCACTTAATGGCAAAGATAGCAGCTCATGTGTGAAAGTGCCAGTAAAATACAGACAATGGTCTTGCAGGTGAAGTCAGGAGAACACAACAGCCTGACATGGGCTGCAATGCTTTCGCCGTAAGCAATGTTAGTCTACCGGAATGAAACCTACATACACCCTACAGAAAGATAGAGACTAATAGTATGTGGGGCCACCCAGGGTCCCCTTTCCAAATGCCTTGGGCAATATCAATTCCTAGGGGAGAACTTAAAAAAAACATTACTTATCTGGTGAGTTTGTGAGTGGTGGAACAGCTTCTTCTGGTTTCTGTAGAGAATAAACTACCTGTTCAAGTTTGTGCTGGCAGCTGCTGCTAGACATGTCCAGAGGCTGAATTTTCCAGAATCAAAACAAGGATTCTCTTGTGAGCTTATATGTTCCAGCAAATAATAAGCAGCAGCTCCCTGCTAGAGACCAAGAGCCCTCTTTGTTTTCTTATAACTGGCTGCTGCGTTGGAATGAGCACAGTGGCAGAGGTGCAGGGACCTGCCCCCAGGCTGGCAACAACAGGCTAGTTGTCGTTGTTTCGTAGACCCTCAAGATAGCAAAGGCAGGTTCTGGAGCCGCTCTCACACTGTTGCTTTGAAACTGGTATCTTCATCTCCTGGCTCCAGCCCAACTAAGGAAAACATTCAGGGCTATTCCCCCAGGAGTGAGGTCCAAAGGGATGCTATGGAAGACTTTTCTTCCCTCCTGCATGGGTGGCTGCCCAGGGATATTTATCAGTATGAGCAGAGCCAGGTGCGAAGCACAGACCCTGTAGGGAAAAGTAAGGTGGTCCCCGAAGCAAATTAGGAGATTCAGCTGGGTGTGTTTGTGTGTGTTTGTGTGTGTGTCGGGGGTGGGGGGGCGCCGTGCAAGCCAAGTGCGCTAAAATGCAGCTCTCCTTTCCACCTGCAAAGAGTTGCTCCGCTTACCCCCCTGCCCAGCGCACTCGGGGAGCGCCAGGGGGAGTCCTCACAGGCCAGGACTTCCCGCGCCCCGGGAGAGCCCAGGGCTCGCCTGGCGGAGCTTAGCGCAGCTTGCTCGGGGCTGCCAGCGAACGGGGCGGGGTGGACACTGGGCTTGTGTGTGCCAGCCGCAGCCGTTGGTTGGCGGGCGCCCAATCCCGGGGCATGGGGCCGGAGCCTGGCCATCTCGGGCCGTGAAAGGCCAGTGTGGCGGAAGATTGACCCCCGGCTGCCAGCAGAAGTCGGCGTCTGAGCCCAGGTGCTGGGACTGCTGTGATCTGCTCGCTGGGCTGCAGCTGCGGGAGCCGGGCATCCCGGGTTCCGAGAGAAGGAGGAGGCATGGCCTCGGTGTTCATGTGTGGAGTGGAGGACTTGCTGTTCAACGGCAGCCGCTTCGTATGGAACTTGACCGTGTCCACGCTGAGGAGATGGTACACGGAGAGACTGCGGGCTTGCCACCAGGTGCTGCGGACGTGGTGTGGGCTGCGGGACGTGTACCAGGTAAGGCAGGGCACGGGGCCCCTGAGGGCCTTGCGGTGTGCAAGGCGCTCATGGGAAGCCGGTTCCACCTGTATGATTTTATTCTCTCTCCCGCTACATGCCTTCTTAAACTCCTAGCGGGCTGCTCGACTCTTGGGTCAAATGCTGAGAAGCTCTGGGTAACTGTTGCCTGATAAACCTTGTGAATTTTTCCCATCAGGCATGGGAGTGGGGGGCACCTGTGAGTTAGTCCCAGCAAACGAAGACATCTGGCGTAGAGTGAGGGCGTGCTGGCTGGCACTCAGCTAAGAAAGCTGTAGCTTCGCAGCACAGGGTGTGCAGGAGGCAACCTTGACATTCAGATGGTTCCTTTTTTTTATGTCAGGGGCAGTGATTTCACACTAGTCTAGTCAGGGGGGACATTAATGAATTTGCCTTTTTTTCTTTGATTTTATTTCGTTTTTCCATCAATCAGCCCCAACTTGCAAGGCAGAGCCAGGAACAGCGGATTCTGTGTCTGCTGGCTCTGGGAAGGACAGACTGAAAATTGTGAACACTTTGCAGGAGGATGATGGGCTGGGGGAGGGAGGGTGGCCTGGCTGGCCTTCGAAATGCTTATGTTTGGATTTACTCCCTGTCACACAACACAACCCCTTTATATCTCTGCTAAGTCCCATCCTGCAGGCAAAAATGCAGCAACTTCATTCAACTAGGAGACACATCCTCTCTGGGACTGCAGCTTCCCTGGATTTTTTTTTTGAACAGTCATTTGTGGATTTAAAAGTCATGTGTGTTGGCTGTTAATATCTTTGTGGTTTAAAAAAATCTACATTGTATTTAAGAAGATTATACATGGTGTTTATCACAGGAATAGAACATAACGTTTTTTTCTTCCTTGTTATGTAGAATAGCTTTGTTGCAGCTCCTAAATTCCCCCTACCCTGACCCCAATCCCTGTGTAACCATGATTTATATCTCACCCTACTGAGTTCCATATGTGATCAGGCCCCTGCTTCTGACAAGCCACGGTCATCCATCAATCAAGTAAAATGAAAAGACCAGCACCTGCACCTAAACTGTGGGCGTCTAAAGAATTAGCGTCCCCTTGTAATCCTTATTAAAATGTGAGGAACATTTTACTTTGTGCTTTCACTAGTCCTGCTTTGGATAACATGTCTACAATGTCTTGCGTTTTGAAAGAGTCCAAAAGCCAGCTTGAGAACCTGAGCAGCATGTGGGGCTTTGAGAGTGTTACGGAGCTGGGGATGTATGTCATCTGGCCATATTACACAGATTCCCTGGCTTTTTGGAGCCAGAGGTATGTTTGCCTCTCAACCTTTTTCTCTTTTGGGAAATCATTGTTCAGTTTGGTCTGTAGACAAGTCACCTTAATATAGTTTTGTTTTTGTTTTTAAATGTTTGAAAAACTTTCAAAAGGAGAAACAAGTATTGTGGCCAACCAAACACCTTCCATGCCTCTCTCCCCAAGGAATCGGGATACTTGTGGATTATTTTTCTACTACTAGGGACCAATGCAAAAGTGGAGGTTCCAGAAACCTCAGACCCCATGGGTTTTTTATAAGGTTGATCAATAATTTTTTTAAAGCAGAACAGCAACATGAAGGACTAACCTACTAAACTATAGGTTTTCTTTTGTAAAATGGATAGTGACTTAGCCAATAAAACCCTCTCATAATAATAAGAAAGAACATCTAAAATAACGATACCCATTTTATGAGTCATAAGTAGAAAATAATTTCTAAGTTTAAAGTTGCTTATGTCTTTGCAGAAATAAGATTTTTTAAATATTTAAAAACTGGGAGAACCATAGATTTCTTCATTGCACAATATAGTTCATTGTTAGCAACAAAACACCATCTTCTCTAATGTCTTTGAAATATCTAGCAAGAAAATAATGACTTTAATTGCATAGAACTGAAAGGTAGTAAAATAAAGTGATTAATACCATCAGCTCCAAGTTATACAGACACAGGAATGAACCCTACCTCTGCCTGTGTATGGCTGTGGGTAAGTTACTTAGTCTTACTCTGTTTTGGTATTGTTGTTTATAAAATGAGAAATGTAATGAGACTAGTCACAGACATTGCTAAAAAAAACCATGTGCGATATTTAGCAGAGTGCCTAGAGTTTTGGAAGCATTCAATAAATATTATCTGTTCTATCAATTAGGATTAATTAGTTATAATAGGATGCTCAACTCAACTAACGTACAGAATAAAAAGAAGGGACTTTTGACACACTGAAAAGTCTAGCAGTAGAAGGAACTTCAGATATAGTTTGATCAGGGCATCATGCTTGTTCCCCATGATTCTTTCAGCTCTGTCTGATTTGTGTGTTAATTATTCCTCAGGTGATTTCTTCCCTCAAGATAGCAGATAGTCACAGTAGTTTCAGGGCTAAGATCCACATGGCAACCCTTCAGATAGAAAGAGAATACCTCATATTCACCAACTATCAAAAAATTTTCCAGTTCGAAATCTGTGGGTCAGCTGAGGATCTGTGCCCACCCGCAATGCTACGCACTGATTGGCGCATGGAATAGGATTATAATAAATGTATTCTCAATAAGTAATATGGTGTCAAAAAGTCAAAAATAGTTTCCTGAGAATAGGAGGGGACAAAAAAAAACTTTACTCTTTTTATACATACAATAGATATTCAAAATATAAACAGATATATAGTGTATATGTGGCATTAGAATATGGGGTGGGGAGAACTAGCTAACAAAAAAATCTGCCCTGCCATGTGTGGCTCAGTTGACTGAACACTGCCCTGTGAACTGAAAGGTCACCAGTTCTATTCCTGATCAGGGCACATGCCTGGGTTGCAGGCCAGGTCCCCCATTTGGGGGCATGCAAGAGGTACCCAATCAATGCTTCTCTCACACATCAATATTTCTCTCTCTTTCTTCCTCCCTCCCTTCCCTTTCCTCTAAAAATAAATAAATAAAATCTTTTTAAAAAATCTAAACAGGCTTATTAAGGGGGTGATAATTAATAAAATATTAAGAAACACTGAATTATATTGATTGGTGCAGGCATGAAGGAAAGGACCACCATGTAGCAGCCAAACAATGAGGAGGGCCAATGCTTGGTTGAAATGCAATCAGCAATGTTCACTGCACCTGCATTGTTAGACTCTCAAGTCTAGAGCTCCTTAAATAAAGTAATGAGTTGTTTTTCAAGGTAAATACAAAGATTCATGCACAAATACATTTGTAAGTATTTTGCCACAGTACTTACAAATTTGAGTTAAGGAGGAGGGACCCATCATTGAAACCCATATTGCTCTCCCATCATTCTGAATTCTAAGCCATAGAGGAGAATGTTCCATTGGACCACCTAGCTTTCTGGCATATGAACTGGAAACACACACCAGAGAGTTACACATTTTACTGAACCCAATTTTTTTATCATCTCGATAATACAAAGGTGTCATTTTTCTTGCTTCTCATATGAATGGTCTTGATTGTAAGGAAATCCAGGCCTCAATTACTCCAGAGAGAAATAAGGGTGGGGCGGGAGATATCCAATACATGAAATACCTGGCTGTCCCCTGGGTTGTTTTCTCTATTCATATACTATAAGTGATATAAGATCTCCCACCTATTCATAAGGAATTTGGCAACAACCTTATGGCCTGGCTGGCTACACCAAGGAAGCATAATTTATTTGGAATGGAACACTTCCTCCCCTTCTAGATATTGGAGGGGCAAGTGCTTTAATTTACCAATAACCATGAATAATTAAGATACTAGCTATAAAGCACTTCTGTAGTAATATGGCTAAATGAAAAGCAGGCTGTGGCTGCACTGAGCTGCCTTTTAACAAAGACATACTTTGTGAGTGAAGCTTTGAATTAGGTTAAAGTTGCCAACATGAGATATTCACCTTCAATTTTGAGCTAAATGCTAAAAACTGATTTGTTAGCCATGTAGCTATCCTGCTTACATCTCACCTGGATGGGTTGCATTATAGCTATTAATCAGGTTTAACCAGCAGTTAAGGTGTAAATGATGGGGGAATGTTGTTTTAAAAAACATCAACACTCTGCTTTTTATTAAGGGTGAAATGTTCTAACAAAGCCCTCAGTTTGTGATTTAGGATTAAGTTTTTACCTCCTCCCCAATGTCTTAAAGGTAGAATTTTGTACAAATCCTAAATGGAATTATTGCCTCCAGTGGAAGCAACTTGGATATAATCCAAGTGACCTTCAAATCATGTATACTTTGCTTGCTCCCACCCGCTCTCCACCATCCTACAAATCATATATAGACTAGATGGCTGACAAACCATGACCCACAGGAAAAAAAACTGACCTGCGTTTGTCTCTATAAATAAAGTTTTATTGGCACACGGACCTACTCATTCATTCACATATTGTTTAAGGCTGCTTTCTCACTATGGTGACAGAATTGAGTAGCTGTGACTCAACTACTTACAGCTGAGTGGTTGAAACAAATACTGTATCAACCACAAAATCAAAAACATTTACTATGAAGCCTTTTGCAGAAAGAGCTTGCCAATCCCTGAACTACAAAAACATCAACAACAAAAAATGTATTGGTTAGACAGTGCTACAAGAAATCCAGAATTCAATCATAGAAAAACAGAACTTGAGGGAATATGAAAGAATTTTCTCATGAAAAACCTAGTCACTAGGAAATTAATAAGCAAATGATGAATGCTCAGTTTACTTTTACTAGGTCTTTCCTTAGAACATAATAATCGGAGTTATAGATAGGTTCATTTATCTATTTATTTATACCAAAAAACCAACAAGTGCTCACCATATCCCAGTTACTGTGCCAAGGTGTTAGCAACACAAAGTCAAAATAGATATTTTTCATGCCCTCCTCAAGAAATGTATGGTCAAGTAGGGTAGACAGGTAAGGAAGTCAAACTCTATGGAAAAGCTTTTCCCAGAGTGCTTTAGGTACACAATGAAAGGGTCTAAATCAGACAGGGATAAAGCAAAAGGTGGTGGGGGAAGCCAAGGAA